CCTGTATTCTTAATCTCCGTGATTTTGCTGACCTCACATCCATAGTTTCGAAGAGTTAAACTCTTCATTGCTGGAGGTACAATGCTCGATATTTTCTGCACTAATAGTCTGATGAGTTTTATCCATTGCTCCTTCATTGCTGACTTATGATTAGTGTGGAATTAGTAGAAGCCATACTACTTAGTTAAGAATCTTTAGGAAGTCATTCGATACCAGCGTTTTGATTTGTTTGTTGTACTAGATGTATATATCAGTAAACTCTTCATTGATTTTTATTTCTCCGTGGCTTTAGCCCGTGATTTTTGTTTATCTTGTTGAGTATAAGCTGCTTCTCAAAGCTAGGATTAGTATAGTGTTCTGAAATTAGGAGAATACTCGGGGTTCCTAGCGACAAAACAGTCTCAAATTGCAGCAAGTTTATTCCTACAGTGGCCGATTTTGCTGTCCATTTCCGCCTATTTATGTTTAGAATTTGGGACTCATTTCTGAAGAAAAATTGTAGGTCATTCTTTCAGCTTTGTAATGATATAAGGAACTTCCAAATCCGAGATGCGGACAGCAAGTTATGGCCTACGGAACAAAGCTTATTCTCTTAGATGAAATGTTTCTACACAGTTTTGATGAAAGAACTTCAACTACACTTTTGGCCCCTTTACCATCTGAATTTAGAGAAGTGTTGTAGTGTTGTTCACGACGGTCTTAGCTCTTAGTTAGGGCTTTGCAAGCGCATATTGTTCATTTTAAACGGAGACTCTAGCTATCAGTTACAGCTTTTTGACTTTTGCTCTATGCTCGGATCAAAGATGAAGTATATGGATTCATGAAAGTACTGTAGAGGTGTTTTATTCCTGATTTTCAAACTGGCCTAATGGTCGAATGCAATACGAAACATCTCAATTTATCTGGTTTTGATTCATGATTTTCTTTAAGGAAAAGAAACCAAATAAGCATACAAAATTCATCATTTTCTTCACAGGTTCCTCAAGAACCGCTTCTTTTTTTCATTTGGAAGAATCGGCCTATAGAAAGAAGATTCTTTTTTTATCCCCACCAAGTTAGTTCTTCACCACCATAATACCATTCGCAAAGCAATTAGTATCTGATTTTTTTGTTTTGCATCCTCAATGAGAAGTAAAACTACCTAAAGCTTCCATCTGCCATCAAAACAACTTTAGCACTGCTATTTTGTTACCTTCTGAACGAACAACAAGGTACAATTAGAGCCTGCAACATCATCTTTAGCTTGTTAAAACTAGATTAACATAATTACTTGAGCACACATACCCAAAATCCAAATGAAGCCATTCACTTTAGCACTCGAGTAAAATACTCCAATACAAGAGCCAACATTATAATTTTTCACAACCAAAATGATATTACATCCGGCATAACATCAAATTACTAAGCTAAAATGGCATCAGACCAAATGTCTAAGCTAAATGATAAAGGAAACCAAAAAGCATAATAGCAAAGTACTACTTCTCGGCATAAAAAAAATAAAACTTGTCTAAGTGTTTTGACTTAAAAAGTTGACGACATCTTGAACCAATCCAGGGCTGCACTTTAATGAAACCGGAAGATTGCCTTGAGCTTCTAATTTGGCTTTGTTAATATGTTTGATGTCTTTGCTATGGGCACCTTGGGCATTCATAATATCAATCATGGCTAGCTGCAATGACAAAAATATACGGTTAGATTTAATCAAACAAAAGCTCTCATATGATTTTGCCACGGCTAGCACAAGTTGTTTCACAGTTTTGGGAGACACCTTATTTTTCAATGCTTGAATTGCATTGAAATAGCCAAGGTCCAGAATATTCAAATCCGGTGAGTTTGGAGGTTGGAAGATTAAACGAATATCAAATCCACCTTCGACAGCTGCTGCTAGGAACTGAGGATCATCAGGACTAATGTGTGTTCTCGCATTGTCTTGTTGAATGTATATTGGCTTCATCCTATTTTCTCTTGGCCACTTTTCTTTGATAGCCGGTAACACATATTCAATCAAAACTTCCTATTGATGTCTTTTCCAATCGAAGTTATCGATTTCATCACCATTATTCCTGCGGGTCTATTAAGACTGCTCCTCTAGGCTGGTTCTTCATAGACAAAAGGCCAAATACCAATTTTTCCATCAAATATGCAATTTCCATGTGTATCATATCTTGGACGGGCAATAGCAGCCAAAAACATCACCTTATCAATAAAATTTTTGTTCCTAACGAAGCGTACCGGATCCACTTCATTAGGTAGCATGTAGAACCTCTTTGTTTTTTCCGACATGTAGAACCACTTCTCGTCAAGATGGACAACATTATACATATCCTTGAACGTTGGATCATCCGGCAAGCTACTCTCTTCAATCATTGACAAGCAAAATTGTAAGCAAGCTCTCTTATTTTTCTCTTTCAAATAAGGCTTGAGAGTACTACTGTGTCGTCGTATTTGCTTGGACTTCAACAGCCTGAATGCTGTAGTCTTGCTAGACCCATCTTTTTAGCTACAGACTCAAGACATGTACGGTCCGCCAAAGGGATATCACGGAGACGCTCTATATCAACTTGGATTCTTTTGCGACCGCAATTAGATGTTTTCTGGCTTGATACATCACCTGTTGGGGAATTTTTGGATTGCTTCCAAATCCGTTGAATGGTGCGGATGTGAACTCCAAATTCTGACGACACCTCTTTTGTAGCCCATTTCCCCAATATTCCATTAACACTTTTTCTAAGAAGTCTCTTGTATATGGCTGCCCGTAGATCATTACTCAGATTTTTTTTTCTGCATGTTGACATGTTCTCCGCCAAAAACAAAGAAGGAAGAATATGCAAATAAATAAGAAACACCTTATTTGTCATCTACGATGGCCAAATTCATATATTGTGTTTAGTAAATTGATTGAGCGCGGCAACTAATAATCTGTTTACTCCAATCACTTATACATTAAACCAAAAACATGGCAACTAATTAGACCACTTCCTAAACGGCTAAACCATAATCTGTTTACTTAGCACATTAAACCAGAAAAACGAAATAAGATGCTTTTAAGTCTCATCAGTCTCATAAGCTAAAAAAGAAAAGAAAAAAATTACTCTAGAATATTAGTCCAATTTTAATGTAATATACCTGTGATTGTTTCGTTATATGCAAAGTCTTCAAAGTTGTTACCAGCATCATGATCACCATTTCCTCGTTGGAGTTCATCATCACCGTCTTCCTGTTGAAGAGGCTCCAAATTTAAATCGGGTATATGTGTATCATCTTCTTCCCAACATGGCTCCGAATTTAGGTCGATCATCAAGCTTCTCGTTGGAACTCTGGAGATTGGAACTCTGGAGATCATTGAAGAATTTGGACTAAAATTGAGATCAAAATCTAATTCTAAATCCATGACTCATCCTATTCCTTTCTTGCAATAATTTGGAGGTTTATATAAAAACCAAAGTTTTGGTTTGAACTTTGAATTCATGATTTGGCGCAAAAAAAAAAATTTGACAAATCCAATTGGCCTCCAAAATTAGTCCGCCAAAAATTTTTGCTTCCTAACTATACCTAATAATAGAGCCAGTGCGAATAAACCTGGAGAAACAGAGTAGGTTTTGCCTTTTTGGAATTGCAAAGTCAGTCGTGAGTAAACTGGAGAAGCAGATAGCCTTTTTGGGATTGTTGTGGACTTGTAGTACCTAAGAATTTTACTCCATGTAGAAGTCTGAGTAAATGTTCAAGATTAGGGATAATTTAGTAATTTTATTAACATAATTAAGTCTTCCTTAAACTTTGTGAAATTGGGAGAACGACACTTAAAATGGAACGGAGGGAGTATAGTTTTCATTCTAATCGATTTACACAGAATTCAATTTTCCCCCTTTTCTCAAAAACCCTAACTATGGCTTCCGCTCCATCTATGTTTACCATCTCTTAGACAGGTTGGTCTTCCGAGGTTGGATGGTTTCCAACCACAGAGATCATCTTTTTTTTTTTTTGTGATGAATTTATGATCCTCCATCTGACACAAAAACTCTGGGCTGTTTTTCTTTACAGGAAGATGCTATGTTTATGCCGGGCAACATATTTATCCACGATACGGATATGAAAGCTCCCCTTCAACCTCCTGTTAGGAAAACACTTGTAGTTTTTAGCAAAAAAAGAAACTCATCTTCATTCAATCTGGAATGTCAAAGAGAGTGAAAAAGTTCAAACTTGTTACAATTATAGATGCAGCTAACAAACAGTCGAACTTTATCATTTAAATAAATTCAAAGAAAGGGAGCTCAAAATTAAGCCTGTAGGAGGTCAATTCTGACCAGCCCAAAGGGAACTGAAGCCTGGGCTTTAGCAAGGGCCCAAGCGGCCCATCTTGTCACCTAAAAAGGTTAAGCCTCTTTAATATAAGGCTTTTTTGTTGTTAAATTATAGGTTTGTCCCCAGCTAAGAGGGACCCATAGGTACTGCCCCATTGGGTATAAATACCCATGATCATTTCTTACAAACCCAATTCCACACTCCATTTCTCTCTCTAACTATGTTAACTGGCTGCTTCTCTCTCTGGCACTAACTTAATCTTTGGATTGCTAATCCTTGTCTTGTAAGTCTGCGTCCGGGTTTGACTGTTGACTCCACACCTACGGGATTTACCCTCGACAAGTGGCGCCGACTGTGGAGACACTGTTCCTACTTGGCCAGGGGCAAGCCCAAGTGCTCTACAAAAGTTATGGTCTCTACTCGAACAAGGCCTGATGAGGGAACCAGTCACAGCTCAAGACTTAGGTCACAAGTGGTTGGAAGTGATTCCCGCACCTCCCCAAAACCACAGGAGGAATGGCAGGAGAATGAGGACGCAGGTGGGGCCTCTAAGACTAGCGACCGACAGAGCCGATTACTGGGGGATTTCTTAACATAAACTGATTCAATGAGATCATCATCGGAGCCAATTTCATCATCAATCTCTAGTATCGAAGATAGAATTGAGAATTGATTAGTCAGCGTAAACATTAGGCGCACTAGGGTTTGTCACACTCAGATCCATGGATTTGCGAGGAGTGTTTTGTTTTGCTGGGGGCTTCTTTGGATGAGTTAGCTGCTTCTGAGGCTTGAACATCAACCGGAATAGTCTCTTTCTCTTTAGCAGAAAGGCTGGATGACAAACCAACCTGAATTGAACGGTCTGCAGTAGCCGCTGAACTAGGGGCGGTCACATCCTGCGCGCTAGGGTTTGTTGCACCCTGCGCTCTAGGGTTTTTCACAGCCCGTTCCTGAGTTTTTTTATGGGGCTTAACACCATTAACATGCAAAGATCTCTTCTGATTCGCTCCATCAACAGACTTCAATGGAGCCTTCTTCTTCTTATCCAAGGGCTTCTGAAGGCCAACACGGCAATCCTCTTTTTTATGACCAATTTTATTGCATTTAGTGCAATAATCCGGAATATGTTCGTAAGTAAAAATCTGATCATGCTTCTTCCCTTTCTTGCCCACCTTTACAGATTTTGGAAACTCCTTGGTAAGGTCAACTTCCACACCAAAACGTGCAACTGAAGGCCTTGTCATATTGAGAGAAGGCGCATCCACCTTCAATGGCTTTCCAATTGCGGTTTCCATTGAAAAAATTACCTCCGTAATGAGGAACTCAATCAGAAGATCAAAGAGGGAGACCCAGATTGGCACAATGGGGGGATCTTCCTCAAACTTGAAGCCCGGCCTCCACTTCAAAATCCTCATGGAGAAACATGCGATATTCTAAAATATTTTTATCCAGCGTCTTTGATAATCTTCCTCCCTTTTAAAGCGAATGAGGACATGCCTAGGGTTCATTAGGCTGAGAGTATAGCCTCCATGGAACCCTAGCTTTTTGAACTCCGTATGGATCTCTTCCATCTTCGGCCTACCATATAAATATTACCCAATTAACTCAATTGGTGAGGAGCAACCAATTGATCATATTCATCGTCTTCATATTCCAAAATGGGGGCACCATTGACGAATCTTACTTCTTTGACTAGTGAACCTTTGGACAAAGGATTGTCCATTGGTTTCTGGAAGAAACCTGCAAATGTGTGAGAAGGTCCAGTGGGGACCTCCCCGGCTTGATCGCCGGTCATGAGATCCGTGAACAAGACTGAGATAGGAACTTCCGGCCTATGGTTTAGGGAGAGGCGAGAGAAAAAATTTAGAGAGTGAAAAAGACAAACCAGCCAAAACCTTTCAAGAAAAAATGAATTTTAGTTTGGCTCTCACTCAAAACCCCATTAGAGAAGAAGATCTCATTGTCCACATCATCACCCAATTAGGTGATGAGTTCAGTCCTATTGTTGCTGCAATCAAAGTTCGTGACTCGCCAATCACCTACTCTGAACTTTTTGATAAGTTGACTGATTTTGAGAGGATGTTGAAGGAGAAAGAGCAAGAATCTGCAACTATACTTGCTACTGCAAATGTCACTCAAAAGCAACATCCGAAGGCTAATCAATTTCACAAGTCATCTCCAGCAAACCAAAATCCAAGTCCCGGATATTTTTTCAATCATTGCAATGCTCCTGGTTCTTGGCAACCTCAAAATGGAAATCGCTCCTATTGAGCTGACTCTTTTTGTCGTTTTTGTGAAATTACAGGTCATGATACCCGTGATTGCAGGAAACTTGCAAGTTTCTCGAAGGAGAACAATATTAGCATTCATGCGTCTCAGCCATCACCAACATTTTCGAGCCCTGTGGCGAATGCCACCACCACTATCAGCTCATCGGCTCAGCAACTAAAATTTATCTCTATATTTTAGGGATAAGATCAATTAAATTTTATCACACTTGTGGAAAGATAAGATTTGGAATAATCCCTATCTTTTAGAGATAGGACTTAATTCTTATCATAATCATGGAAGGATAAGATTTGATGATTCTCTTTATCCGCTTTTGAGATTGTTCATAATAAGAAGTCTATTCCTTGGTGTCTACTCTCAACTGTTGGATGAACATTAGATCAAGATTGAATGGCTATGATTACTCTACAAAGAAAATATTGATAACGTTGACAACTCAGAAAGATTTTTTTCAAAATAAGGATAAGATTCTTTTGAGAGAATATCTCTTTGTATTTGGAGTTTTATTTTCATTAGACTAGTGTGTCTTAAGTCTATTAAGGTGTCTAGTTACATTGCCTTAATAGATAAGACACAAGTTGTCAAATTAGAATTTTATTTGATTTCTAGTTCTTTAAAGTAGGAATAGAGTTAGAGGTTGAACTCTTATCCTACTTCTTAGGAGGATTTTCGGCCCATCTACTATAAATAGGGGTGCTTGGCTAGCTATTGGAGATAGGCTTTTTGATGAATTTGTTCAATATGAATTTGGTGGAAGACTCCTTGTTTCTTTGACTGTGTGAGGTTATTTGGCTTTTTGCAAGATCTAGTATTTTGCATAAGGTAGCAAACGTGCATTCAAGGGTAGTGTCCTTATTTGTGGGGTTCTTTAGATATCATTGTAAGGAAGTACATCTATCTATCGTCGTCATAATATTTAGGCGGGGGTTGTTAGAGTCGGTACTCTTGTGGTAGCATCAACATCACTTTTCTTCTTTTCTATCTTTCCATCCCTTTTTGGTTGGAGTTATTGCAGCTCTACCTTCTTTATGTTTTTTGTGCATTTTGATATGGTTTGGGGCAAGAATCAAGTCCTTGGGCAAGCTTCCGCATATCTACAAGTAAGATCTATCTTGTCTCGGGCATTAGAATTTGTTTTGCTTATAGGTTTTATTGTTGGCTGAATAAATTCACATCAATTTGGTTATCAGAGCTTCGATTCTTGATATTTGCCAATTTTTGAAAGCTTTGATAATTATAATCGTCATATCTTCTGCCAAATTCACATCAATTTGGCCTCAGAGCTCTGGTTCTTGAGACTCGCCAATTTTTGAAAGCTTGAGAATTATAATTGTCATATATACTCTCAAAACTTTTGGTTCATTAGTTTCCTGCATGTTTAGATCTAATTAATCAAGGCTCATCTTTGGTTAATTATCTTTGTACTTGTTTGTGCCTTTTCTTTAGATTTAGCATATTCTACTTTCTTTTTCATCTTGACCGTGTGTTAATTTGTGTGAATCAAGTTTATTCAAATTTGTTTTGATTTTTGTTCGGCTACAGTAAAAAACAAAATCGTTCAAAAAAATTTACAAAGTTGTTGATTTGGAAATTACTTTCTAGATCTAAAGGCTAGGGTTTGAAAAAAGAAATTTATTATACCCTAGATCTATTATATGTTGGCCAAGTGCAAGGGTTTTAAAACATTAAACCCTAATTTGGAGTTTTGAAATATATTTGCTACCGATTTTCTATTAGTTGTGAGATATCTTTCATGTTTGTGACATTCAATCTAAATTCGTATTCTTCTTAGATTTGTTACAAATACTTAGGCTTGTCATATCGTATAATTCTTGTATGTTCGTTGCTTTGTGTGAAATTCTATTTGCTTAATAATCTCATTGCACATAGGTCAAAGTTACAAGGACAGTGGTAAAACAAGAGTGAACCTTTCCCCTTACTATATTATAACCTTTTTGGAGAGTTATTGGGTTGCGTATAGAATAGTTGGGAGGGGTACAAGGGTTGTGAGTTCTTTGAAAATTTTCTTTTTTCTTGTGGTGTTATGTATCTTTGAAGGTACAATGGTACATTTTACACTTGAAGATTTGTTGGCAAATCAAAGGTTTTGTGCTCGAGAAAACCCAAGTTCAATTTTGTCTTTTGACCAAGCAATTGAGAAGGGTTATACTAACTTCTCATGGGAATATCTAGCAAGGTACAGAAAATTGAAAGAGAAAACTCAACATCGTGCAGCAGAACAACAAAGAATCAAAGAAGAAAAAGCTAAGGAAGTTCAACGACAGTTGAATGCAAGTCTTGAGTATATGAAATTATTGGTGCTTGAAGAGCAAAAACAAGCTTGAGCTAGAGCTATTCAATTGCAAAGGCTTGAAGAGTTGCAACGTGCAAAAGAAAAAGAACTGGAATTAAAAAGGCTTGAGGAGTTGCAACGAGTAAAAGAGCAAGAGCTTTAGTTACAAAGACTTGAAGTTGAAAAAGAGATGCAAGAATGTGAAGAGTGGAAACATGAGTTTGAGAAAGAGATACGAGATTTGGTGATAGAAGAAAATTTTTCTAAAAATCTATTCTTTCATTGTTTCTATTTCTTGTTCACAGCCTAAAGATATAGAAGAGCCTAAGTTTATTCCTCAAGAATATGAAGTTCCACCATTTGAAGATGCTCAACAAGTAGACAAAATTGACTTCGTGCTTGGTGATATGTTTTCTCAGACATAACTGGTTATCAATCCATTCAACATATCTGAAGTGTTTCTTGACCATTGTTCATATGAAAAGAAGCAAAGGGAGTTTATGAAGATATTGTACCACCGAAATTGCATCCAACAAGATTCGAGGATGAATCTTTTCGAAGAAAGGGGGAGTGACGTGAAACTGGATAGGCCATTAGGGATCATTCCATGTCATAATCATCACCACATTATTATGTATTCATATGACTTGAACATCTCAAAAGTGGTTTATTTGGCAAGTGTTGATGATGTGATCTTGGATATGCCACTAAAGGTTATTCATAACTTTGATGATCATTACATTGATTTCGATCATGTAGAGGTGGAATGGAATCATATTGGAGTTACTATCAAAGATGATGGAAGATTGAAGCCAAATAATGGTTCACGTCGACCAAAAATAAAGTCGACAATGAAGCTGACAGTAGACCGTCGATTGAATGGTCGAGAAGAAGAAGCCAACGAGAAAGCCGACGAAAGACGTGCAGAAATTCCGAATTCACCTAATTTGGAATTTGTGAGTTTTTCTTTTACTACATGTTCAAGTCGGTTTTACAAGACTCATCTCCTAATTTTTAGAAGTTTTATCTCTATATTTTAGGGATAAGATTAATTAAATCTTATCACACGTGTGGAAAGATAAGATTTGGAATAGTTTCTATTTTTTAGAGATAAGACTTACATCTTATCATGATCTTTTTTTTTTTCTCTCAATCAAAAGGTAAGGATGACATTCAGGTTCTAACTAGCTCAAAAAAACTCAAGGGGTGTACCCAGGAGGTAAATTTTTGAGCTAGCCAGTGCTATATAGTATAATGCACCCAAGGGGTCTACCCAAGGGATGGACATATATACTATATAGTTCCCTAGTTTCCCTCCTCCCTTCCATATTTTATTAATTACCAATCTGAAAACTTGGTAGTGCATAAGACTCACCAGCATACAACAATAGCTATTTAAATCTTGTACGTACATAGGGAAAGGAAACCTGATCTAAAAGATCAAGCCCCTTTATATGTCTAGGCAAGCTTCGCATACTACTATGCCTAATTGAAATACCAAGCGATGATTCCCCTGCTAAAGCATCTGCCAAGCATTAGCCTCTCGGCATACATGAGCCACAGTATACTGGTTCCTTGCAAGAATGTGATGAATTTTTAAAATCTACCAATGATACTTCCAAGGAATAACCTGCATGTCAACTAGAATATCCACTAGAATTTTATTGTCAGTTTGCACCGCCACCTTCATCAATATGAGCTGATCACACTTTGTCACACCAAAAAGCATTCCATACACCTCCGCTCCAAAACTATCTCCCCCGCCTAAATAGCCACTTTCCCCATATTGAAAAATAACATCTCGTTGCCTTATAGAAAAGCCATAACCAGAAC